AAATGCAGTAATCCATGATGCCTTTCATCTCCTGACAGTGCAAGTCTAACATGCTGATAGGCCAATTCTCTGCACTTTTTGTCACATTCTAGCTCTGGTAGGAGCTGCTCACTCTAGTGAGACAGCTGGCAGGCTGTCAAGCACAATTTTGAAGGCAGCTGCAAAAGTAAAGTGGCTACTACTGCAGGAGTTGAAATAGCACTAGTGTGCTATTATGTCAGTCCATCCCATGCAGGTAGGTGCATGCCAGTCTTGTGTATCTGCATGTGCTGCAAGATAATGCATTTGCCTGTGGCTGGGAACAGATGTTGCATTTTTTCCCTGGAGAAATTTTACCTGGGTTTGTCCCAGAACAGAAATATCCCAGGATTGGCGCATACGCAAATTGCTTTTCCAGTCGGTGTTTAGTGAGTGGCTGAATGCACGGCTGCTTTTCTGTCACTGATTTGGTGATGCAATGGGTAACCAATCAGATGCACTTTCTGATGTCCTTGGGTAAATTGTTAGTACTTTTTATCTCATAAATCTTTTTAGGATTTATCCCAGGACAATAGACATGGACATCTGAATGATTGCAATTTGTCCCGGGATAAAACAGTTTATCCTGGGACAAATGTGATGTCTGCTTGTAACCTATGTGTTTTTGAAGGTATGTTTGTCTATAAGTATTTGTGTGTACAGATGTGTGTTTGTACAAGCATGGAGCTAGGAAGGAACCTGAAAATGTGATATACATCTGAAAGCATTTCATTATGCATTTGCATCTTCCATGTGTATGAATCTATGTAGTTGCTGCAGAGTGTGGTTGTGCGTGTGTCCTTGTAGCTAGAAAGGAAACTCGGAGTGAGCATGTGTGTATCTGTATGTGCATCATTATGTATATGTATCTCTACAGACACCTGTGCATGTTTTGTGTTGGCTATTGGCCAGGTTCTTTGGGTGAATCTGTTACCTTTTGTTAGATAGTTGGGGAAATTTTTTTTAAGCAAGCTTTCAGGTTTAAAAACCCTCTGTCAGGCTGAGGAAGCCTACGCAGTTGATGTGTGCTTTTCCTGGATGGAAGGAATAGTAAAGAAGCCAGAGGCTGGGCTGGTATGCATGCAAGATTGAAGGCAGCTGATGAAGATTAAGGAGTCAGTGGGTCAGTTGAAAATAGAGGAGTCAGTGGGTGAGAGACAGGTTGGGTGGTGGGGGAGAAGAGGGATGAATGTAGCAGTTAAATGGTGGAGAGGTACCTGGGGAGTCAGTTGTCAGGCAGGTTATAATGTGTCATAAATCCAATGTCTCTCTTTAGTCCATGATTTTTTTTTTTGTATCCAGGAGATTGAAGTGAATGTGTGTGTATCATGCAGGCATCTGTGTATGTGTGCCTATGGAGGCCTCTCCATGTTGTACTTATAGATATCTGTGTGTGTTGCCATATCTCCCCCTCCTCCTTTCTGTATGAATGTAGTTATGTAGGACTGCAACTTATGCATTTACTCAGGTACTGTGCTGTGTTCCTGTATAGTTGTGTGTGTCTATGGTGCTTTCTCTGCACATGTGTGGGAGACTCCTGTGGTTTGGGGTTATAATGAATAAGCAGCTGCTGAGACATTATGGCTTAGACTGGTTTGTTTCTTCTCCCCTGTAGGAAGGACCTCTGCCTTTTCAGAGCAGTGGCAGAGATCCCACCTCTCTAACTGACCTTCTCTCTCCTCTCAGGTGCCTATCTGGTCCCGTACCTAGTGCTGCTTATCACCATTGGGCTCCCTCTCTTCTTCCTGGAGCTGGCCGTGGGTCAGAGAATCCGCCGGGGCAGCATTGGAGTGTGGAACTACGTCTGCCCCAACCTGGGGGGCATTGGATTTGCCAGCTGTCTAGTGAGTTTTGCTTATAGGAGTGTCCCCTCAGACACGTGCAGGGCGAGGTCTTTTCTAGGGGCTGTGCCAGCTGCAAAGATTGTTTTCCACCTATAGTGTAACTGGACAAACAACAGGCCAATCTTCAGTTGAAATGGAAGGTTAAAGGGACATGGTTTTCCTTTCCCTTAGAAATGTCAAAATCTTTACAATTTTTAGCAAACTAAACAACGCCCTAAATCCACTTGAAGAAAAAAAAAAACCTGGGGACAAGTGAAATGCCTTGTTTTGCTAATTGAAATCTCATAGAAGGTAAGGGCTGGAAAGGACCTTGAAAGATCTTCGAGTCCACCCCCCTGCTCTGGGCAGGAATACTGGTGTGATCAAATGATGGTTGGTTTTGATTTTGTTTTGTTTTTTTTTTTTGTTGCTTATTTTTTTTTAATCCTCTCTTTGTTTCTATTTGCTAACATTTCTAAAGGGGAAGGAATTGGAACTTGTAAAAAACCAAATGCTCTGGTTCAAAAAAGCTGTTATTTGCCTAGCTCTGTCCCAAAGTTAAAGGTTTGAGCCTCTGAAACTCCACCCAAAAGGTCAGGCTTCCTAACAGGTTCCCCATCCTCTGTGCATCAGGAACAGGATGGGATGCACATGCCTCGTGCTGCTCAGTGGGTTTTACATGTGATTCAGCAATATGATTATAAGTGACCAGCTGAGCAAATTCCTCAGAAGGATCTCGCCGCTTAACAAACCCACCTTTTGCTCTCAGTTGGTGAGACAACAGCACAGTCACCCAGCCAGTTAGATGAAATTCATTGCTTCTTTCTTTTTTAAGTACATGAGAAATTTAAGAAGTTACTCTAGGAATCCCTCCAAGTAGTGCTGTGCCTCTTAGTTACATGGGTCAAGTGGGGAGGCTTCTGTTCTCAAGCTGGATAGTATATTGTAGCATATAGGGGGAAAAAAAAAAGGATGAGTCTTTAACTGAGTTGTGAGCCCTCTGGTCACACTTAGTGTGTCTCATACATTAGAAACCACCCAAATTGTGTTGGAGCACTAATGTGCATGTAGCCAGGCTTTGCATATATGTACACACTTAGCAAATACAGTAATTTGGAACCCAGCTATGCCCACGTGGCTGTGTAAAAGTAAATGATACAACACATACATAATGCGTCTGTGCAGCACAAGCTGCAGACGCTCCCAAGGAAAGTGCAATTCATAGATTATAATGCCAGAAAGGACAACAGTGAGCATCTGGTCTGGACTCCTCCAGAACACAAGCTATAAGACTTCCCTGAATTAATTCTTGATGAACTAGAATCTCTCCCTCAAGAAAATAACATCTGGTCTTATTTAAACATGGCCAATGATGCTAAGTTGCTTTCATAATTCCTTACCCTTACAGTTGACTATTTGCACCTTTTTCCTTAATATAGATTTCTCTAGTTTTCAGCTCCAACCATTGGGGTCTGCTCTGACTGAAGAGCTGGCAACTCGAGCTGCACATTTGCTTTCCATAAAAATTGAGGACAAGAGCCTGGACAAAGCCATGGAAGCCTTCTACAGTCAAGGAACTGTGGCTGTGACCCTGATTACCATGACCTGTGATGCAAGCTCCTTTCTTAGCTCAAGGGTTTCCTGCACAGTGTGAAGTCTGTCTGGTGGGTGCATCATGTGGGATCTAAACATCATGTTGTTCTCCCTTTCCCAGGTCTGTCTTTTTGTTGGTCTCTATTACAACGTGATCATTGGATGGAGCATCTTCTACTTCTTTAAATCCTTTCAGTATCCCCTGCCCTGGAGTGAGTGCCCCATCATTAACAATGGCACAATGGCCAGTAAGTAATTCCTTTGTTGCTCCAGCTTGACCATTACTGGGACAATAGCATCTAGGTTTGTAGATGGTCGCAGTTGCTGGGAGGTGGCACCGCATGTGGGAAAGTGTTTCCAGGATTGTGGGTAGGTTTCATAGCTGATAGCTGTCCTGCAGTGGGGATGCACAAGGTTAGGGCTGTTTTCCATCCACTGCCACGTGCCCTTGTGTGAGATGCTTGCCATATTGCTCTTGGGACTTGGCTTTCTCTGGGGGCTCCTTGTTTCCAGGTGCCAGTGTCACCTGATTGCACTAAAGCAGCGCCTGGTGCTGGATCTGTGCTGTCAGGATTGCATATGGATTCAACAGCTGGGAAGTATATTTAAAGCATTTGTTCGACTAGTTCCTAAGAGCTCAATAAAGATTCTGGCTAAGCTAATAGAGCATTTAATACCGTCTCTACGCTTCTTCGGTACATCTGTGACTATTTTATGGGAAGCGTAAATTGCACCATTTATTTAACGTCTTCTTTTCAGTTGACAACATCTCCATATTCCCTGCTAAAGATCAATTCCCTGGGCTCTGAAGTGACATTTGCCTTTTCTGCAGTCCATGGATCTTGCACTGTAACTTAGACAGACCTGGGTGTCGGACTTGACGATTAGGTCCCTTCCGATCCTAGAAACTATGAAACCTAGAAACTATTAATGATATGCTGCCTCATAAG